TTGTTTATCAGTTCACTACACTGTTACCTTTTAGGAATGAGAAAATCATTATCATGGTAAGATCATTTCACTGTAAATATTTAACGACTGGAGATGCAATTCTAAACTGGGCATTCAGAAAATCCACGCAAGTTTTTCCTAAACCACTAGAGGGAGAACTGGTTATGTAAAGCCAATTCCTGATATGCAGACTCATGTTTGCAAATCCAAAGAGTGGAGACAAGCGTATACTGCCTGTCACATGGCGCTTTCTTCCGTGTGACCTACATCCATATACTACTGCTGGTTTGAGTATCTTAGCAGTAAGAGAGTGAGTGGGGTGAAATTATAAACATTGTTGGTTTGGATGTAAACAGAAGTACTTGCATTTATACTGGCATATGCTACAAGCAATATTTTTAATCCACTGAGGAGAAAATGAGATTTGGAACATCTGGATAATGTAAAAAAACTAGGAACTGGAGATCAGCAAAGTCAGAGAGAGAACATAAACAGAAATGGTCACAAGCTACCCTCCAACGGCCTCCTTCTGTCAGCTTCTTGTGTCAGTTGTTACATTGTTAAGCTAAGCAGCAGAGTGATAGGTTTGGAGTTCAGAGCTTTCTCATAGAAACTGCCACATTTCTAGGTCCCATGCTCCCGTGAGTGATATGACTGAATGAAGCTGAATTGAAATGCTTTTAAAAATAAACTGTTTAAGACTTTAAATAATTAACACGCATCTGTAGTATAAAAATGACAACGCTCTCTTTAAATAAATTAAAATGGTCTGACACCTGCCAGGACTTAAGCTCTCTGTTTCTCCTGTAACAGGAGAGACGTTAATACCTACAAAAGAGGATCTGTGCTTGCGGGCACTGTCTTTGGGCTTTAACTGACAGGAAATGGAAAAACCTCAACTCAGGTTGCCCTAGCTGTTTAGAATATAATATTATGCTGAGGGACAAATCCCCAGGTCAGCACAGGACATATGTGGCGGAGGACAGAATCCTTTCTTTCCTCTTCCCCCTATGCGGTGGAGCTGGTCCATGAAGGCTGTCCCAGCCCAACTCCCCGTCTTCTCCTAGTCCCAGATCAGCTGGCCTGCTCATCACCCTGCCCACTGATGCTGCTGCCAACAGGTTTGTCTTAGGACAGGGGACTGGAGTTGCTCCCTTTATCCTTTTTGTGTGTCTTAAAACATTTGTTCAACTGTAGCCTCATCTTGGCTCACCTTTTCTGCAGCATGTTTTACAAAGAGTTTTTTAAAAAGGGCATGAAGGGGTTAAGTAATTAGACAGTTTGACTGGTCTTCAGCTTTCTGCCTTCTGTGCTTCAGCTGGGGCCATGTACCTTTGTAGCACTTCAACTGTACAATGGTTTGATTTCCTCTTGTGGTTTAATGTCAGAAAATGACACGTTGTTTCTACTCTGAGTAGCGTCCATGCCAAGAGATCTCCAGAATCAGTTTGTTTCTTCTGGATGTTTCAGCTCTCTCTTGTGTAGCCTTTTGTTTGTTTACTAAATTATTTTGTAAATTCAGCAAATAAGTTGGAGACAAGAATTTGAAGTGACCAGAAGAAACTGTAGCATGGAAAACAAGCACACACACTCACCACTCCTCCCATGGTTTATATATCAACATTTAGGCACTTCAAAAAAAAAAAATCCTTTCCCTGCATTATGCTACATTTTTAAAACTAAGGGAATTTTTTAATCAAAATTTCATTCTTTATCTCTTACCTGTGAACATTGCACTCACTTTCACATTCTGCTGTTCCTGGACTCACATGGCTGCAGCAAAATGGTTAAATACCAGTCCTCACCCTACACTAACAATTATTATTAAAATGAAGGGGGTGGGGGGAGATCCCATGAAGATGACTAATCACAGTAAAGTTCAGTCAACATTAAAAAAAAAAATTTAAATCTAATTTCTGGGAATAAACTGAGTTGACATCATGGATATTTAATATGGACTCAGCATTCTGAAGGAGTGGAACAGATTCAGTTTCTTATTAAGCTGTATTTTCCCTGGTACTTGCCAGACACTAGAACTACAAATAAAAGAACAAAGAGCTGCATTGTTCTGCCAAGCACATATGGCCTTATATTTTAGAGACGGCAACAAAGGAGATTGTGAAGAAAGGCTTTTTGCTGTCTGCAATTGTTTTGTATAGTAAAAATAACTAGAAAATATTTAATGATATGATGCTCAGAATGGATTTGTTTTTGTTTAGACAAAATTACAAGAATTACTCCATGGAAACAAGAACACATTTCAGAATTCAAGCTGCCTTGCACCAAGCCAAATCGGTCTCAGAAAATGGAGTACATTCTGGAGCTTCAACAGTGTCATAACCTTTTCTTCTTTGATGTCTGTGTGCAAACTTTGAAACATTATCGCCCTTCTCTGTTAAATCAGTGGGAGAGACCAGAACATGTGATACCTAAAAGATTTTGAATCTGTGGTGACAGTCTGGCAAAAAACAAAACAACCTCCCCACTCCCACCCCCCACACCTTTACAAAAGATTTCTTTTTCCAAACGTGGCTTGTAATATCTTTGTAATTAATTTTTAATTTATGTATATATTACATTTACTTATTTGCTAGGATATGAACTGGGACAACTAAACAAGAAGGCTTATTGGTTTTGATCTGACTTGGTTATGAATGTAAATTTGAATTTATATTGATGTTATTGCGAAAAAGAAACACTTTTCCCGATCCCTGAGTTGTTTACTTGTTTAGTTTGGTGAGAGAAAATTCAGTCTTTCAGATTAAGTCAGAAGCTTTTGAATCTCAGGCATTTTGTTATTCATACAAAGATCTTCTTATCAGGTTTTCTCTTCAGTAATTTTCTAGCTGCTGAAACAAACTTGCTAGTAAAGACCTTAAGAAGTTTCAATTATGCAAATGTGATTTTTTTTTCTTTTCAATTTCAGTCTGTTCTATCATTTTTTGTAGGCTGGATAATTTACAGTATAGCCAGGATTTTAGAAAAAAGCAAGTGAAGAATACAGTGGAAGAGTGGATCATTTATCCTCCTTAGGCTAAATTAAAAATGACCAGGGGGCCTGGGGAACCAAACCCATCAGCGTTTACCAGAACAAACATGACTTGAAGTTTAAGAAATGCACTACTAACTATCAGGGCCGGTGCTACCATTTAGCGCCAAAAAGCGGCGCCCCCAATTTGTTTGGTTTTTTTGTTGTTTTTTTTTTTTTACAGCGGTCGCTGCGCTGGGAGGGAGAGGGAGTCTGAGCCGCCGACACGCAGCCCCAGGGTTCCCCTGGGTCAGAGCTGCTGCACGGATCCCCGGGCCAGGGGGTGGGGAGCTGCCGCGGGGG